TGCAAGGATTTACTTCAAATGTAGCTCACAAGGAACATATAAACATGTGCAAGGATTTACTTCAAATGTAGCTCACAAGGAACATATAAACATGTGCAAGGATTTACTTCAAATGTAGCACACAAGGAAATATATAAACATGTGCAAGGGTTTACTTTAAATGTAGCTCACAAGGAAATATATAAACACATGCAAGGATTTACTTCAAATGTAGCTCACAAGGAACATATAAACATGTACAAGGATTTACTTCAAATGTAGCACACAAGGAAATATATAAACATGTGCAAGGATTTACTTCAAAATGTAGCATACAAGGAAATATATAAACATGTGCAAGGATTTACTTCAAATGTAGCACACAAGGAAATATATAACCATGTGCAAGGATTTACTACAAAATGTAGCATACAACGAAATATATAAACATGTGCAAGGATTTACTTCAAATGTAGCACACAACGAAATATATAAACATGTGCAAAGATTTACTTCAAATGTAGCACACAACAAAATATATAAACATGTGCAAGGATTTACTTCAAATGTAGCACACAAGGAAATATATAAACATGTGCAAGGATTTACTTCAAATGTAGCACACAACGAAATATATAGACATGTGCAAGGATTTACTACAAAATGTAGCACACAAGGAAATATATAAATATGTGCAAGGATGTACTTCCTGTCTGATTTGAAACATACGAGGCAGGCAATAATGTTGATATCAACTAATCTCAATTATTTCATGTGTTTTGTTCTCACATAATAGCTATTCTCATTCAGTGCTGCCCTCTATATGCAAAATTTTTTTGCATGCCACAAGCCTTGAGTTCCCACACACCCCAAGATCAAAGTGGTTCAACTGCATCTCACTTGTAAATCATCATGCAACAACCCTCCACCAATAGGAGTGGAACACACCCTCCTAATGCAAGTGACTCCCTCTATTCAATTCTACCGAACTATCACTTGAGGTTTTGGCCAAAAATGGAAGCATTGGTTTTCAGTGGAGAGGAAGAGTGAAAAGAAGTAAGTACCTATCAGAAATACATTTTCAGTATAAAAAAATTATAACTTCCAATACACTACATTATCTCTTCTCACATAAATAGCTAGAATCCCACATTGAATTGATGGAAGAACCAGAGCACGTAAAAGAAAGAAGCATCCTTCAAAAGCATCCAAAGCACACCCTAAAAGAGTAGATCCTCGTAGTAGAGGATCATACATGGGAGACCGCACCACTTCTGTACCAGGTATACTCTTTACCCAGTGTGAAAAAAGGTGTCACAAACATGGGCAGAAATTGGGAGGAGAGAACAATGGTTGGATAAAGATCGAAACACATGATATTGGAATCTCAATCCCATAGAGTACATCAATGTGGGTGAGAGTAAAAGGATGTGCCTCTAGATGTAGAGTGACTAGGGCATGACGGACCATACATGGGAGTAGGATGAGGATCATACCATCCGTGATTCAATTACAAACCAAAACTCAGCCAGTGGGAACTGAAATCCATGTGCAGGGATCATACCGCCAGAAAATCAACTACAATCCAAAACCCAGCCACCAGGAACCAACATCCATGTGGGGGGTAGGAAAGAGGATCATACCAGTGGCAAGTCAACTACAATCCAAAACCCAGCCATCTGGTAGGGATAGGAAAGTTTAGCAGCCCGGAGGGAATTTTGTACCCTCCATTCTATGAATGAGACAAGTGATAGCAACGTCATAAATTGTTTGACTGATCCGAAAACTAGACATCTGAATGATTGGTATAGTAAAGATGTCTCTGTAATGTAAACTATCTCACTCAACACCATTCTGACAGAAACTGCCCCTAGCACA